GGGAGGGGGGAGAAAGAAACTAACAGGGACGTGGGGGGAAAGAAACTAACAGGGAGGTGGGGGGAAAGAAACTAACAGGGAGGTGGGGGGAAGAAACTAACAGGGGGGAACTAACAGGGAGGGGGGAGACATTGACAGGGAGGGGAATTGACGGGGAGAGAGAAATTGACAGGGAGGGGGGAGTGACAGGGGAGGGAGGGGGAATGAGAGTAACAAGGGAGGGGGGGAGAAGAGAGTGACAAGGGAGGGGGAGAGATTGACATCCATCACACAAACACTCACACACAATGCACCCCTTACACACAAAGACAATGAACCCCTTGCACACAGAAAAACACACAATGCATTACACACACACACACACACGCAATGCAACCCTTACACACAATGCATCCCTTACACACACAGAAACACACAATGCATTCCTTACACAAACTCAATGCACCTCTTAAACACACTCAAAGCACCCCTTACAGACTCACACACTTCATCCCTTACATACACAGAAACACACCTTGCAGCCCTTACACATACAAACACAGATTCACACAATGCATTCCTTACACACAAATCAGGACATCCCCTACACACTCCACCCCCTGTGAACAAACTCATTGGTGGAACACGAAGGTGGACCCTGGGACCCAGACCTTGAGCTGTATAAAGGGCCCCCAAAAAATGGAGCTGCTTCTCGTTCTCCCAGAACATTTTGTGACCACAGTTACAAACAGCCTCCAGAGATCCTGTTATACACCAGACCAGTGGAGCCAGACTGCAGCTAGAGCCCATCATCATCCTCATCTGCTTGTACGTAGGTAATCTAGTATATTATTCGTGGCACTAATCTCTAATTTACCTCACATTAGAAACACTATAGTCCCCAGAACCACTGCAGCTTAATGTAGTGGTTCTGGTGTCTATAGCCTGTCCCTGCAGGCCTTTTAATGTAAACACAGTGGCACTGCAGCACTGCAGCACTAGCGTTAGTTAACATGGCAGGTCATATGGGTGGGGCATTGTGATGTCACGGGGGGGGGCGGCAAACCTTACTTTTGCCTAAGGCGGCAAAAATCCTCGCACCGGCCCTGCTGGGGCCTTTCCAAAAGGTGTGTATATGTAATGACAGATCATGTGACACTTAGATTGCACATAGGTGGACATCATTTCACTAATTATGTGACTTCTGAAGGTAATTGGTTGCACCAGAGCTTTTTATGGGTTTAATAACAAAGTGGGTGAATACATACGCACATGCCAATTTTCCATTTTCTATTTCTAAAAAATAGTTTTATGTATATATTTTTCTCATTTCACTTCACAAACTTAGACTATTGTGTTCTGATCCATCACATAAAATTCAGATTAATAAAACATTGAACTTAAGGCGGTAATGTAACAAAATAGGTAAAAAAGTCAAGGGGGGTGAATACTTTTGCAAGGCAGTGTATACACATAATATATATATTTTCATTTCTTTGTTAGTGTGCAAATGAAATATGGTATAAAGTTGTGTACATTGTGTACTGTACACAATGCTTACGAAATATTTATATTAACCTTCAAACAATTTGTTTTGCTTTGGAATATTGCTATTTCAAACATACAGAAATCTTTGGCTCTGAGTGTATCAAATAAACCTAAGAACAAACAAATGCATATTATTTATTCTTACTGTGATTATCACTATACATTGTGCTTTGTAATGGCCCAACAATTAACATTTCAAACTTGTTTACATCCTTGTCTATCTATGAATAGAGATGTCGCGAACCGTCCGCAAACTTCCCGCGAACGGTTCGCCGCAGTTCGCCACGAACCGTTCGTGGCGAACTCCGGTCAGCTGACACATCCCGGCCAAGCTGCCTTCAACATGGATGCTGTCCAGGAAGTAGGAGGGTCTGGGAGGGAGGGTCTGCTGGAGATTGGCTGGCATGTGTCAGCTGACCGGAGTTCGCCGCGAACGGTTCGTGGCGAACCGTTCGCGGGAAGTTCGTGGACGGTTCGCCACATCTCTATCTATGAATGCAATAAAATAATAAATCATACATATATACCCAGGTAAGTCAATATACAATACATATATACCCAGGTAGGTCATTTCTATATAATGCTAATGTTTTAATAAAGATTATATGAGAAGAGGAACAATCCACACTGATAGGTTAAAGCATTTTTGACAATTATCTGGAAAAACAGTCAGGGTGTTTCACTACCAAAGGGCAAATTGTCAGGAGTGAATTAGAATTGTAGGGCTAAACTATCCAGACTGAATACATTGTGAATACTTCACAATTCACACAACTTTTATAGAAAAGGAAAAGTAATAGTTTTTTTTTTTTTTTTTAATTTAATAAAATACAATTTAAAACAAAATCATGCCTCATTAAAGATCCTAGCTTGTGACAAAAATTGCAGGAACAAACTAAATAAAACTGTGAGATTGCATAACCACAAATTGTATCATTATAAGCATCAGTGGCACAATGAGCTACAGCCAGGGGACTACACCTCCCATAATCATCTTACAGCTATAATCATAGGCGTGCGCACGGGGTGTGCCGGGTGTGCCTGGGCACACCCTAATCCCCGTGCGCACGCCTATGGTTTGAGTCCTGCAGGAACAGCGTCCCTGCACTTTTTTTGAGCAGGAACGCTCTTCCTGCAGGCACTCAGCGCCCCCTGTTTCACCTCTTGCCCCTGTCATGGGGGGGGGGGCAAGAGGTGATGGATCCCCCCCCTCTCTGCAGCTCAGCCGCGGCGAGAGAGCTCCCTGCTGTCTGCTCTCTGCTCCCTCTCGCCGCGCGCTGATGCCGGGAGCCGGAATATGACGTCATATTCCGGCTCCCAGCTACAGCAGACAGCCTGCGCGGCAAGAGGGAGCAGAGAGCAGACAGCAGGGAGCTCTCTCGCCGCGGCTGAGCTGCAGAAAGGCGCCCGCCCCACTGGACCCCAGGGAAAAGTCCACGCCAGCACTCCAGGTAGGAGGCTGGGTGGACATTTTTTTAAATGAAAATATAATAATTTGTTCTTGTGTGTGAGTGTGTCTGTGTGTGTGTGAGTGTGTCTGTGTGTCAGTGAGTGTGTATGTGTGTGAGTGTGTGTCTGTGAATGTATGTGTGTGTTTGTGTGTGTGTGTGTGTGTCTGTGAATGTGTGTGTCTGTGAATGTGTATGTCTGTGAATGTATGTGTGTGTTTGTGTGTGAGTGTGTGTCTGTGAATGTGTGTGTCTGTGAGTGTATGTGTGTGTGTGTCTGAGAATGTATGTGTGTGTTTGTGTGTGAGTGTGTGTCTGTGAATGTGTGTGTCTGTGAGTGTATGTGTGTCTGAATGTGTCTGTGAGTGTGTGTGTACGCATATATATATATATATATATATATATATATATACACACACACACGCAAAGCCGGCGCTATCTGAGTGCCGGCTCTGCTCTAAGCCTCCATGGGCCGGCGGGGAGACCAAAGATCTACCTCACCGGCCCACAGCAGCATGGAGGGAGGCAGGAGAGGACCCAGGGAGCTCTAGACAAAAGCTACGCCAGGTTCCTCTCGCGATATCTGAGCGTTGCTGCAGCAACGCTCAGATCTCGCGAGAGTGAACTCTAGACCTGCAGGCTAGAGTTCACTCTCCACTGGACCACCAGGGATGGCACATGGCAGCAAGGATTTATTAATCTGCCAAATCCCTCCAAACATACAGCACACACACATACAGCACCTACACACATACAGCTCACACACACACAGTACACTAACCGCACCCTCACAAACACACACAACACCTTTTAAAAAAAACACAACACCCTCACACACAGCACACTAACAGCACCCTCACAAACACACACACACACACACACAAACAGCACCCTCACAAATACACGACACACAAACAGCACCATCACAGGACAAACATACACACACAAACAGCACAGTCACAAACACACACACACACAAACACCCTCACATCACACTAACAGCACCCTCACACACACATCACACTAACAGCATACAGCACACTAACAGCACACACAGCAGTGTGTGTGTGTGTATGTATCTATATATATATATATATATATATATATCAGTGGCACAATGTATCTATATATATATATATATAGATACATACACACACACACACACACACATGGCGTGTGTTTGTGCTTTAGGGTGCACACCCTAATGCAATAGGCTGTGCACGCCTATGGCTATAATGCTGGGAAAGCATCAAGGGAGATGTAGTCCACAACATCTGGAGTGCCAACAGTTGCCGACTCCTGAACTATACTATAATATAGCACGGAAAATTGCATTTAGTTCATTATAAGCCACCTAGAAGTCCCAGTTGAGAGACCACACTTCCCAGTGAAATGGATGGGATGTGCTGGTACCTGGGTTATCAAGGGGATCAAATGGCTGCAGAGACAAAATGCAAATAGTAAAGCTTAACCAGATAAGTGCTGTAAGCATCACGCCTACCCAGGAGCACGCGACTGAATTGGGAGTTAATGCTACTTGATCTCAGACAGACGAAGGACATCGCTCTGCGCATATACAGCTTCCAGTTCATCCACTGCTACGATGGCAATGGTCCAAGCAGCCACAATAGCTCCTAACCTGACAACAATATCCACAATGCATTGCCATATCCTCCGTCTATCTAGGATCAAGTAACACCACCTATTCACAGTCTCGTGCTTCCAGGCAGGTGTGATGACACCATGTTTTGAGAACTTTTCATCTGGCGTACTTTGATTGTGTCTCTGTGGCCATTTGATCTCCTTCAGGTACCTGCGCCTCACAGCTGTTTTGCTGGAAACTCTGGTCATTGTTTTGTCACAAATTAGAATCTTATGGGAGGCATGAGTTTGATTTAAATTCTATTTTATTCAATAAAAAAGTTTAAAAATGGTACCTAAATGTATCTAGCATATATAAATATATAAATATGATAGAAACATTTAAATACATAAAGGAGGAGACTATATTTAAAAGAAGAAAAACTATCATAACAAGAGGACATAGTCTTAAATTAGACAAGCAAAAGTTTAGAAATAATATCAGGAAGCATTACTTTACTGAGAGGGTAGTGGATGCATGGAATAGCCTTCCAGCTGAAGTGGTAGAGGTTAACACAGTGAGGGAGTGTAAGCATGCGTGGCATAGGCATAAGGCTATCCTAACTATAAGATAAGGCTAGGGACTAATGAAAGTATTTAGAAAATTGGGCAGACTAGATGGGCCAACTGGTTCTCATCTCCCATCACATTCTATGTTTTTATGTTTCTAAAAGTGAGCACTCATAGATTTAAAGTTATAGCTGCTTATTTATTTATAATTGTAATTCTTTATTGCCCCCCTTCCTCCCCGCACTGCTTTTTTAGGGTAATTTGTAATACAGTGCAAGGTAATACTTATTTTAAATCCTTCACAATCTTGTAAATATATTACATTTCTTTGTTTGGTAGTGGTGGTGTCTGGATGGTGAAAACTGTATTTTGGGCAGAGTGTAGTAGGGATTAGAAAGATGCAAGGGATTCTCAGTTACAGAGTGGGAATAGGTAAACAGAAAGAATAGGACACTGCAAAAAGATCTGGAAATAAATGGTCATTCGTGGAGGCTTCAGGATATATGGATAATTCTAATGTAAATGGTTGCAGTTATTTACCAGCACTAACCACCCAATACGAACTCAACCATCCGTGCATAAAGGATGTTTTTTCCAGCTAAATTAAGTAAATTAAAATGCAGGAGATCAGTTATTCTAAATGTGTCCGTCTGTCAGTGTGTGTGTGTACATTTAAATACAAAACCTTTGGTGCACTCACAGGACTTTCAAAACTTTTTACTTCCCACCAGTGACAATTTAGATTAAGCATGTCAAACCCGCGGCCCACAATGAATATATTTGCCATGATTACTGAGGCAGAGTAGGCACCTGCTATCCTTACAATGCAGGTGCCTACTCTGCTCAAATTTACCTCGGTACCGCCCGGAAGGAGAGGAAGCTGGCGGCAACGAGGGAACTCAGTCTGTTCTTCCTGCTCCCTCGCGCGTGTCCTCTGTAGTGATGCCAGGTGTCGGAATATAATGTCATTCCGACATCCGGCATCACTAAACTGCGCGCATGAGGAGCAGGAAGACTGAGCTCCCAAGAGAAGAGGCCCCACACCAGCTTCCAAAGGTAGGGAACAATAAATCAAATGATGTTAGTGTGCGCAAGAATGTGGAAATGTGTGTGTGTCTATCAGTAAGTGTTTGTCAGTTAGTGTGTCTGTGAGAGAGTGTGTGTGTCTGTTAGTGAGTGTGTGTCTGTCAGTTGGTCATTGTTGCGCAATGCCACGTCACATTCCGAAATCTCCACCTTAACAAGTTTTCAAGGTGTAGCGGGAGGATCCGCTGTGGCACAGGGTGCGGATTGCGCCATTGGGGGTATACTAGCGGCTGGACTCCAGAGTCGTATACTGGCAGCGGCAATGTGAGTGGAGTCTGCTTGTTGGCTAATATTGTTTTTGTTTTTTTAAACAAGGACCTGGGTTCAGTAGAGGGGGGTGCTGGGATATAGTATAGAGGGACTGAGAATTAGTAAAGAGGGGGAGACTGAGGTTTAGTAGAGGGGGATGATTTTTTTTTATCCTGTACTTTTCAAAACAAACCTATGTTTATATGAAAATTGAAGGTTTTTTTTTTTTGCGTGCCACATAAACTTAAACCTTGTTTATGTGGCCCGTGCTAGCATTTGAGTTTGACACGCTTGATTTAGATGATGATCAAGGTTTGTCCTTTTCATGATCCATTTAATTTAGAATATTCTATAAAATAGCAATTGTAGTCCTACACTAGGACAAAAATTATATTAATGCCAGGTACAAGTTAGGATTCAGATTAATTAGAATGAAGCTGCTATTTTAAGTGAAAACCCAGAATGGAGGTTATTTTGCATGCTGCTAATGTTTCAATTATAGCACACTTTCAAAAGAACAAGGACTCATCCCGCTACAAGTCACTCAATATTGGACATTGAGTGGGTTAACTCATTTAGTTGGCTCTTTTTCTTTAGATTTTATTCTTGTTCTAGGACACTTTATTTTATATTTTTACCCAGATAGGTGTCTGTATTGTATATTTTTACATTTTACATACTATTTAAGCTGAACTGTATATCATTTGCAGAAAAATATATTAGCCTTTTGCATTTATTGCTGATTTTATTTTTAGGCAGATCATATACACTGTTGGATGATGCCATTAATATATTTGTATAATATACAAAGTACGGAGAGAATACTTGATATAATAATAGCCAATTAGTAGGGTGCTATTCCTTGAAGGTACTCCCTCAAATACCAAAACAATCAATAGTAAGTAACAAAGAATGCACACTATATAGTATAGAGTCTCTATCTATATTTATTACATCACATATACAGATACATCACAAATAACATAATAAGTGACTCATTAGGCAATCAATATACAAAAATTCATATTTACCACATTCCACAAGCCTAAATGGGCAGAAACACGAGTCATGATAAAGGCTACCAGGAGGAGCCAAAACGTTGGGGGTTAGTTTTGACTTGTGTTTCTGCCAATTTAGGCTTGTGGAATGTGGTAAACATGAATTTTTGTATATTGGTTGCCTAGTGAGTCACTTATTACATCACATATACATATACATCACAAATAACATAATAAGTGACTCACTAGGCAATCAATATACAAAAATTCATATTTACCACATTCCACAAGCCTAAATGATAAATCACGATAAAGGCTACCAGGAGGAGCCGAAACATTGGGGGTTAGTTTTGACTTGTGTTTCTGCCCATTTAGGCTTATGGAATGTGGTAAATATGAATTTTTGTATATTGATTGCCTAGTGAGTCACTTATTATGTTATTTGTGATGTATATGTGATGTAATAAGTGACTCACTAGGCAATCAATATACAAAAATTCATATTTACCACATTCCACAAGCCTAAATGGGCAGAAACACGAGTCATGATAAAGGCTACCAGGAGGAGCCAAAACGTTGGGGGTTAGTTTTGACTTGTGTTTCTGCCAATTTAGGCTTGTGGAATGTGGTAAACATGAATTTTTGTATATAGGTTGCCTAGTGAGTCACTTATTACATCACATATACAGATACAAATACATAATAAGTGACTCACTAGGCAATCAATATACAAAAATTCATATTTACCACATTCCACAAGCCTAAATGATAAATCACGATAAAGGCTACCAGGAGGAGCCGAAACATTGGGGGTTAGTTTTGACTTGTGTTTCTGCCCATTTAGGCTTACGGAATGTGGTAAATATGAATTTTGTATATGACCTGCCTAGTGAGTCACTTATTATGTTATTTTGTGATGTATAGTGTGCATAATAAATTCATATTTACCACATTCCACAAAGCCTAAATGGGCAGAAACACAAGTCAAAACTAACCCCCAAAGTTTCGGCTCCTCCTGGTAGCCTTTATCATGACTCGTGTTTCTGTCCATTTAGGCTTGTGGAATGTGGTAAATATGAATTTTTGTATATTGATTGCCTAGTGAGTCACTTATTATGTTATTTGTGATGTATATATATATGTGATGTAATAAATATAGATAGAGACTCTATACTATATAGTGTGCATTCTTTGTTACTTACTATTAATATATTTGTAATCATGCCTTGCAGACCCTCATATTACTGTATCAAAAATTATGTTTGGTTTCCAGCACCCATTGTGCATATCCCTATTCAAAGTACTATCCATGGTTCCCCTGGTTGACCCCTTCTAACCTTCATGTGCATTTATCTCTTTCATTAATTTTTTTTTACTCTCTCTCTCTTACGTTTGTATGTTATGCATACTAAAAAGTACTTTTAATTTTGTTTATACATTGTTCTATGCAATTAATCTCAATTGTCTTTATTTTGCTATTTAATAATAAAAATTTTTTTTTATAGAATTACATACACACCCCAATTACTTTTTCTGAGTGGGGCAGCTAAATATCTACAAACATAGTAAAACACGTTGAAATACGATACTTGCCCCAATAAGTGAACGCCGTTGACAAATATTTTTTAAAGAATACTTATTTCTTGCTTAAAAGTTTATTTTTTTTCTACAATCATAAGAAATGATGAAAACAACCAAGATTGACATTTTTTTCTTTTCTTTTATAAATTACTAATCTTTCCATACATTTTTCTTTAATAAATTCAGACTTTAGCTTTACACAAAATAAAACACAAACTATATTACAAACATAAAATTTCCATGTAAAGAAAACAAAACAAAACACAAAAGGAAAGATTTTAGGTACAAAATATTTTCAAACAATATTAATTCCCTTTATTGTTAGAAGGGAATGAAGAATCAGGTCCCAGAGCCTTGTCCATGTACAGGATACAGGTGTTATATATAAGTGCTTGTGTATAATAAATGTTGCTTTGGCAGGAGTATGAAATTAAACTAGGACAATTATCTTTATAAGATGTGCAGTGTACCCTGCCACTAGCTTTTTTTGACGTACATGCAGTTGCAATCATCTTGTCCATGTGAAGTCAGCAAGACAAGGTTGCTAGGTGTGCCCCTTATTGTGTTTTGTTTTCTACTAAACTGCTAAAGAAGTAGTTTAAATGCCAAGTTATAAAATATATAAATAGGGGTGGGAATCTCAATCTATCACAGTATTAACTATACACACTCTTATGATAGATCTGCTACATGTAGCTTTAGTTTAAATGTATATATTTATTTGGGGCAGTAATTTGTACCTAGCAAAATAAAAAAATGTAAAAAAAAAAAAAAAAAATCAACATTTTGGCAGTTTCCCTTTAACAATATAAAGCTGATTTCACCAGTAATATACCGGTGTCACAGAATAGCAGTTTGATATTGAGTAGCATTGATTTCAATGTGAAAAACCACTACAATATTACAATATTTTACAATGTTTTAACTTTGAGATCACGGTTAGGCTACAACAGTTTAAAAAAAAAAAAAAAAAGTATATCTGACAATATTTACAAAAATAAAAGTCTGTGGCTTAAAATGGAATAAAAATTGTCCATATATTTATGATTACGGCTTATTTTCTTCAGCTAAAAGATTCTTTAGTGATCATGATAGTATTAAATGTTAAACTGAGTTTTTTCAGCAGTACTATTTTGCTTTTTAACATATTTCACAAGAAAAACAAATGAATGGGCCATTGGGCCAGCTCAAATTGATTGATAGCACTACAACATTATTTAAATGAAAACGGGCCCATTCCACCTATTAGGGACCCACATTACTAAGACCCAATTTTAGGTCCTGACCCGGAGGTTACGAACCACTGTACTTGAGGCGTAATGTAAGAAATCCTTATCTGGATTTGTGCGTTTGCAGCTTATTTTTTCAGCTGTAGGATGAGCACTCAAAAAAATTAAATAGTAAGGATATTGTTTACATTTAGCAGCTGTGAGACAAGACTTTGTAAACACTTGTGTTATGTAACAAAAAATATTTTAAAAAATTGTACGTACTTTATAAGAGTGATGCTGAAGATATAACATAAAAAATTCAGCACAGACTCCACTAAATTTACTTTAAAGTCAAATACTTCGGTAAACGTATGGGGATTTAATTACAATACAGGATCAAACATTGCATAAGTCAGCTGCATTTTCCTTGGACATCCATCCTCTTGGACCAGTAGTATCTGCCAAAAAAGAGGTACATTTGCATTGTGGTTGGATAATGCAGTGTATGATCATGTACTGTAATTAAAACCTTTTTAGGCTTCAAGTGGAGTGCGCATGAGCATGGATATTATATATATATATATATACACACACACTCACGTATATATTTTTCCTTTTCAGACAAATATTAACGCCTTTGCAAGCATCATGTTTCTAGGTTTACAATGTTTTTCTTTGGTTACATTAAGATGTAACTCAGGGTCAGTACGTAGATGTACCAAATGTACATGAAGCAATAGTCTCATATACATCATTGTACACAATGTACTGATTTGAACCCAGAGCCAATCACCTGGAACATCAGGAGGCAACCAACCTGGTAACTTGAACCTTATAACCTTTATCAGGATAAAAAAGTGAATAAATCTGGTGTCCTCACATGATGCAACAACTATTTAAAATGACAATTTATAAAACTATTTTTGGATTTAGAGTAAGGAATTAAAAATTGACTTCTAAGTTACTGGAAAGCTACATCTTCCAGAATTAAATGTTTAGTCAATGGTCAAAGAATGACCAATCCCTGGTTTAAATGACAAGAGTTACCAGTTGTACACAAAATGTCTTCAATCTGAGACCTTCAGAATTTCATATAATTTCAAGTGAATGTTTAGACTGCAAGTAGAAACTGAAAAGCAATATGTATTGTTACAGAGAGCAAGGTAGGGTAAAGCTTTCAGTCCCGATGGAGGGGACAGATACACCATATTTACAGTTGGCTGAATTCCATTGGTTTACTTTAATAAACCTTGAAGATATTGGAGTGGTCTAACTTAATAAAACAGTAGCACAAAATAGGCAAGAAAAAAAAACACACCAGGCTTTTGGCAATTCACCTGTACCCACATTTTAGGTTTTAGCGATTGTACCCCAATTTACAGTTTTTTAGCCTGGAAAATAACAGTTTTGGTGTCTTAATACATAGCACTCATTACAGTGCTACAAAATTGTACCCAGTAGAACACAGTATGTTTTAATGTGATCTACATTTATTAATGTACTTTGTCTATAAGTGTAAAGCGTCCCTTTAAACACTAGTTGAACCCTGTTGTGAATAAATCATGCTATTTCTATGAGTCATTTGGCCTGTCAGATGAAAATACCATAAATCTTGCACAAGGCGCTCCATTTGTTTGTCCTCCTTAAACAGGAGTGGACTGAAGGGCCTAGAAAAAGCTTATCAGGTTTCTGGGTAAAGCATGTGACAGCAGGACTAAATAACTAATTGAGTTGGTATTTCCTTTCGGATCACAGAAGTTAATATGCTTCACCTTGTTGCTTAGGTCTAACATTAAATGTCCCTTTAACCCCTTAAGGACACATGGCATGTGTGACATGTCATGATTCCCTTTTATTCCAGAAGTTTGGTCCTTGAGGGGTTAAACAGATCATGACGATGTGGTCTAAACAACCCATAATTGTCTGCCATTCATGTGCATGTTGCTAATATTTTATCAAATGGGATTTCAGAAGTATCTAGGGCAGGGGTTCTCAAAAGGTAGATCCCCAAATGCTTTAAAACTACAGCTTCCATGATGCTTTATCATTCTAAAGGTATGCAAAGCATCATGGGAGTTGTGCAACATCTGTGGGATCTACTTTTTGGGCACACTTGGTCTAGGATGTAAAGAACCCAATATTTTTTTTTTCCAATTAAGAAAATAATAAAATAAACAATAAACCTTTTAAGTAACATAAATGGTATTAAAATCACAAAAACATGAGAAAAAAAAACTCACTTCCACTTTCTAACTAAAAACTTTAAGCTTGCTTCGACAGGATTCAAAACAGGCCCATCACCACGTCCTCGCACCATATGCCATTTATTTATATTTTTTAAACAAAATAGCTTTTTTGTTAGCTATTGTACGGAGCTGCTGACTAGGTCTCATCTTCATGAGAGAAAAAAAAGACAATACTGTAGCATCTTCTATGCAACAACTACTGGTAGTTTCATTTTCAATGTTCTTTGATGTACTACAAAAAGGATGGGGATTTCAAAGCAACCTGCATAGGGTTTGGTATGATTTTATAGTATGTAAGTCAGCGGCAGAGCTCTCACTGTATCCTGCCATGATTATATCAGTATTGAGCTTGTATTGTCTGTGTGGATCTTTAAAACCCGCTGCTCAGTTTTAGAAGTGTCTAAATTAACAATCTGTAAAACAACGCAAAAAGATTTGATTCAATTTAGATTATACACTTGTAAGCAGAACTGTTAAAACCAACTGTGTCTGTCAAACTCTGGAATAGCAGTTATGTAAATAAATAATAACAGCATTTAAGTCTACTCCAGAAATCAAAGAGTTAAGGTTGCCCAAATAAGGGACATTTATGCTACTCCAGCTGTAATACAGGGAACAGAAGCTGACTGAGCATACTGGGATTTGTTGATATTAACAGCTGGAATGGCTCTGCCAACACTGTGCAATAAGATTACGTTTCATTGGTTGGCTTTATTATTCAGTCTTATTATTTGGGAGGCTAAAAGCTATAATTCATGCTAAAACAATGGAACACGTGGAATTTGCAGGAACTTTTTCTGACAGCCTGCAAAAAGTTGGGGCGGGACAGGTTCTTTATGTGTACAAGGAATGTCAATGCAAACACTTCAGCAGGACAATAAGTGGCCATTTTCTTTCGGCAGACTATTGCACTTTCCAGATAATGCCACACTATACAAACAAAAACCATTACACAGTGCTGCAGAGCTTTTTCCATACCGTACGATATTAACTATCTATATGCCAACCAGAAGTGGAGGATATTGCAGACAGTAAAATATAGTGATATACTCGTATACTGGATAAGTTTTTGCAGTGAAGGTATATGAAGCAAACATTTCTGACCACCTACACACCCTACCCTGGATATAAAGGGTCAAACTAGCATTAGTTAGGTGTCACTTTTGACATTTAATGGGTTAAATGAATGACTGCAAATACTCCAGAGAATTGTTACCTTGCTACCCAGCATTCAGAACTCACCTAACATCGACACACGCCTTTAGAGTAAACTATACTCTTTGTAGTTAAACAATTAAAGGAATATACAAAAAAAAAAAATCTATGGTGAAAATTCTTAGTAGTGTTCCCTATAACTTTGAAAGGTGAAAATATAATCTTTAAAACATTAAAGCTGCACAGCAGATAGATATACATGTTTTATACCTATAAAGATACATGTATTAAACATTTGCCAACATTTCCAAAGGTTATTTAGGGGTTAATACTCCCAATTAACACGTGTGAAGGTGTTCCCTAGTCCCATTTAGTGTCCGCTATGTGTATGAAGTAGAACAGACAAAAGGTAGCCCACTAGCTATTGAATAACTCCATCTGTGCCATAGCAGCCATCTTGTTTGCTACCCCTAATACAAAGTATCCCTCTGGAATGATGCAGTGTATTGATTTGAAACTAGCCAAGTGTGAGTTATGAGTGCAGTTCTTATACCCTATTGAAGTACCTTAGATGATGACAAAAAGTGAAAAACAAAGTAGAATTTGATGGTAATATTAAAGCCCACGTTACTGGTTTGGCAGTTTAAATATATAGGACTTCCATTAGCTCATGTTGGGAGTTGGTCTACCCATGAACCCATTCACTGCCAGAAAGTTCTAGAATGCATTTGTTTTAGGTCTTTCTGGCAGTCACGAATCTCTGAAGAACAAAGATCTTCCCATGTTATAGCCTCAGGAGCAAATATTAAATTAAACCTAAACAAAAAATGTTTTTAGTGTTACCCAAAGTCAATGTATTGATAGCAAAACTTTACAAAAGCAGCAGTCTCAGGACATGTAAACTAAACCAAGAATGTGTGGAGTCTGAAGGGAAGTCCATATGTTCTGCAGTACAATGTGGTGTGTGTCTATTCACACATGAGACAGTGGCACTTGCTTGTGGTATAAAGCAGAGCTTGGCAATGGAGTCCTCCCAGTCAGTGCAGTGGTAGCTTGACGGTAATCGGAGGCATTCATTGGTTTGGTGGTTCTGCAACATCTACTTGTAAATCGTCTCCAGGATTCTAGAGTCTTTCCAGACCATATCCAGACACCTGAGGTTATTCCAACCACAAGGCACATAAAGTACTTCAGCATAAAAACTGCATATTCAGGCCTGGTTCTCTTTTTGTCCCCCGGGCAAGAGCAGTTGTGGGATTTCTCCCAGTGCTCTCTATAGTGCTGTTCATAGATATAGCATGCAACAACTATGGTTGCAGGCACAGTGTAAAGTACAGTAAAGATACCGATACGGATCATCAGTTTTTCCAGTTTGTCTGTTTTTGTGCCCCCCTTTTTGATAACACTTCTTATTCTAAAGAGGGACACATAACCTGCCAGGAGAAACATGGTCCCTGTGAAAAGATAGACCACCAGGGGAGCCAACACAAACCCACGTAGATTGTCCAGGTTTTGGTTACCTACATAGCAGATACCAGCCACAGGGTCTCCATCCACAGAGCTTAAAGCTAGAACTGCTATGGATTTGACACTTGGTATTAGCCAGGCAGCCATGTGGAAATACTGAGAGTAACTGGCAATGGCCTCGTTGCCCCACTTCATGCCTGCAGCCAGGAACCATGTGAATGATAAGATTACCCACCAAATTGAGCTGGCCATTCCAAAGAAATAAATGAGAAGAAATACAACGGTACATAGTGCAGGCCCTGTGGTCTCGTAATATATGTGGTCCTTATTGCAGGCCACATTTTCATGCCCCACTATAAGTCGTATAATATAGCCTATGGATACAAAAAGATAGCAGGCAGATAGAAAGATTATAGGACGCTCTGGATATCTAAATCTTTCCATGTCAATCAGGAATGTAGCTACAGTAGTGAAGGTTGAGATGAAGCACAGGATGGACCACAGCCCTATCCAAAAAGTGGAAAAGGTCTTCTCATCCGAAGTAAAGTAGGGTTGGAAACATGGCACGGCACAATTGGGGACCTGGCCTGTCTTGATTCGGTTGTAGAGTGGATGGGATTCTTTTGTTATAGAGATAAAAGGTTCCCTGCATTTGCATACACCATCGCAATCCCTGCTTTGTTGTCTATGACTATGCAGAGAAGTCAAGTGTTTTGAACCCCTTGATGGGTAGGTGGGCTTTGGAAACACGGGTTGAAGTGTTGTTGTTTCTGTCCTGTTATAATCCATGCAGAGGTTGTCTGGGTCACCAAACACTGGCAACTTGTCACAGTTCATTCTCTCTGGCCAAGCAAAGCCATATTGTCTCATCAGAGGCGAGCAGCCTGCTTTAGCACCCTCACACACCGACCTGCAAGGTGGCAAAGGCTTTTCATAGTCTTTCATGCAAATAGGTGTATACATACTACAGAGAAAAAATTTCAAGTCAGGCGAGCATTGGATTTCTACAAGAGGCCAAAACTGGTGAACCTCCAAACCTGCTTCATCTTGAGTGTCATGGTTGAATTGGTTGGGCATGTAAGTTAAATTGTATTCAATGCCCTTGCACATGGGCACAGTTATTTCTTGGCAAACCATGGCTTTGGATGCTGCTGGAACACGTAGGGGATACTGTACAAGTAGAAACACGAGGGTCAAAAAGATGATCCAAAAGTTCAGTCTGGCCATGATTTCATCAGGAGTTTGATTTTCCCCTTATCATGGATGGAAACCCCCAAAGGCAATCATACTCGCAGATAAATATCTTCCTAAACTCAGGACAACAAAATTATTTTGTTTATTCACCGTTTATTGTGTTAAATCCTGGGCAATTCTGCATGCCTGTAATAAAAGAAAAAAAATAAATCAATGAGCACTTGCCATTTGCTCAACTTATAAACAAGAACAGAAACAAATGTATTGGTTGAACGAACATTGTTATTACACCAGCTGATAATATACCATTATAAAGTAATTATTAAAAGAAAGTTCAAATCAGGAATATCATGATGAGCGAACATTATCACGCTGCTTACACTATATTTTAAATTATAAAACTGTACATTCATATTTTTTGAATTTAGCAAGATGCTCAAGTGTTATACAAAACGATTACATTTAAAATATATGTATGATTTGAGGGGTATAGCCCTTTAGATCATTAAAGGCGAGTACATATTTTTAAGGCTTGAGACGGAAGGATTTTACAATAGATTCAGTAATGCCAGGGATATTTTGGAGTAAGATATATTATATTTATAATTAGAGCGTAAATAATTAGAGGTTTATTCACCAACTGCAACTTGTAGTGAATTAACATCTGAATTGCAAATGTCAAACAAAAAGTACAAATTTGGAAATTACAGTCTCAACTCTTTTGCTAACATTTTGAATAAATCCACGAAAAACACAAAACGTACAGGGTTTTTCACTAAACTCCACATTTTAGTGAGTAAAAATACAAACTACAAAATTTAAGTAAAATAGCCAAAATAATAATGGTTATTATCCAAACTCAGGACTATCACAAATTCATTCCAAATGGTAAAATTGAGGTTAAAAATAGAGGAGATTTGGAAAACAAAATCTCCAATTCAGCTAAAGTCAGGAATTGACTATTTCTGCCTCAATTTTGCCATTCGGAATTAATTTGCAAAATGTAGGCAAAACTGGTTAATTTGGAAAAATTCTCCAACTCAACCTACAACCACAACCTGGCTAGCATCGCCTAAATTTTACAAATCAGTTGTCAATTCAAAGTTTGGTATTTAGGGAATACATATGATTATTAGCATTACACAGGAACATTAAACTGCTAGTTTACATTTCGTTAACTGTGTAATATAAGGTGATAAACAGTTTATTAAAGAGTGAACTGACAAGAAAAAAAAAGTGAAAAAAAATCTTCCTTGATGTAAAACACAGATTTGCAAAAAGTTATGATGACTGAATTTTTTTTTTTTTCTACACAAAATTAAATTTCATTTGTGAGGAATTATAAAAAGGGACAAAGGTCATATCAATATTAGAAAAGAGGGCTGACAACACCTTGCAATAAAATAAATATATCTGGTTATTAATAAAATATTAATGCAGAAACGTACCTTGCAGTCAGTGCAGGATAGGAAATTTCAAACCATGTGCTGATAATGAAACAAGACAAAGCCATCTTTAAAAAAGTATTTAAAAAAGGGTAAAGAAAAAAAAACATAAAAAAAACAAACTACTTTAAACGTTTTGCAAAATAATACAAAATTAGGGGGGAAGAGTATCTTCTTAATTTCTTTAGCTCCAGGGAACTAAATGTAGCAAGAAGTGTCCATTACTTACAGATTAGACTCAAATCAACAACTTGTCGCCCAAAAGCAGAGTTTAGGTTACAGGTATTCAGGTAAAGTATCCAATAGTCACACCGTCCCCGGTTTATGTGCAAAGGCTATCACAAGAGCCTCCCTTACCAACATGCCCATTTGGGTTTATAAACCAACTTCTGGTTCCCATCAAGTTCCCAGAAAAGCGAGTGTGACAGGTCTCCTGTTCCTTTAACAAGGATCCGCAGAGTTTCATTTCCAGTTCTTAGAATAGAAGTTCATGTATTAATGTATCCTTATATAAGATTAATGCATGTTAACCGCGGTCCTCAATTCAGTGTGAGCAGCAAGTTCTCCTCTGCAAATATCAGTCTCCTGTTCTCAGTCTGTGCAGTGTGATCGCCTGGGCTGAGAGCCTCACATCTCAGATAGTTGTTGTGACCCTGGAGAAGCCAGCACTAGACCCTTTCCCTCCTCCTGGAGTTTGCTTATCTGGCTACCTGTGCTCAAAAGGGTTTGCCAATGACCCCTCCTATTTGTCACTAACAGCCAGCCCCCCTCCATCTGGATGAGCCAATGTCTGCTATCCTCCCTGCCCACTGACTGCTGTGCCTTCCCCTTGTCATTCTCCTATTCTGCTTTTACACTGTGAGTGTGTGCCTCAGAGTTTTACACTGGGGATTAGTGATAGATGCTGCAATCCAGTTAGTAATTCTGTTAATGGTTTAATATTAGGTAATTGAAAACATGCCCCCACAATAAAATGAATCAAAGAGGAATAGAAATCATATTGTCAGAGGTTTATTCACTAAACTCTGAATTGTAGCAATATGGAATCTGAAAGGCAACGTGAAGGAAAAAATGCCTGATCTGGAAAAATCTCAACTAACTCTAAGTCTAATATCACCATTCAATTTTAGCCTCAGTTTTGCAATTCCTATTTCAATTCTGTACAAATGGAGTTTAGAAAAACCTGCATAAGAGTGTACCATATAAGCTAGAGGTGCCCAAAATGTAGATCCCCTTATCTTTTATAACTGCAGCTTCTGTGAAGCTTTGTCATTCTAAAATTATTCTAAAGGCATGCAAAGCATCATAGGAGTTCTAGTTCTTCAACATCTGGGGATCAAACTCTTGGGCACCCCTGATATATAAGCAGGGGTACCCAAAAGGTAGATCCCTAGATGTTTTAAATCTACAGCTTCCGTAATGCTTTGTAATTCTAAAGGGCATTATTAAAGGCAAGCAAAGCATTATGGGGGTTGTAGTTCTACAACATCTGGAGATCTACCTCTTTGGCATTCCTGGTTTAAAGGGACATTGTAGACCCTGTAAATACTTTGTCTCATTGAAGTGGTTTTAGTAGTTCCCTGGCACCATTAATCTGTTTATTGTCAAACCATTTTTAAAGCGACTCTGTCACCCCTGAGTGTTTCACAATGATACAATTTTTATAAATACTTAACTGTGTTGGAATTTCACTGAAATCAAAACATATCATAAAACAAAGTAGGGACTAGTTTGACAAAACTTGATACCAGTTAATGATTTGGGCTCCGGGTTTTTGAAGCGGCGCCCACAGGGGACAGCATCAGGTAGGTATATTTAGTATATTTCACCTGTATTGCCTCCCCAGACCAATACACAACTTCGGGGGTCTTTGCAAATTGTGGTTTAATTTAGCATTAAACATGATTTACTTAATACTAAATGAGAATCCCTAAAAGCCTATCCCCTCAGTGCTGCTGATGCTAATAACAAATCCTTACCCTGAGCAGCAATTGGTGGAGGTGATTGGCTGAGCGTGCCAAATGACAGCCTCCAGCCTATTACAGCATCCTATTGCTGCTTAGAATTGGTATGACTAAGGAAGTGTGTAATCTCTGCTTCAGCCATACCTCCAGCAGGGGCAGTGGACGTCCAATGACCCTTAATCCGTGTTAAAGGGTTAATCCAACCTTCATAATTTTTTGTTTAAAAAATTAATAATGCCTCATTAGGCATTATTCTTTAGACTCCCCCTGCCTTTAATAATTTTAAACAGATGGGGTTGAGAGGTGGGAGGGCTGCAAAGAGGAAAGGGAGACACAAGACAAGAAACCCATTACGTCTGTCGTCAGCGTGATTTGCGCACTTAAGACAGATGTAAAATGTGCACAGCATTGACATTAGGCAGTATGGAACAGAGTTCCAGGCTGTCAAAGTCACATATGCCGAGGTTGTAACTAGCCATGGCACAAAAGTGCACATAATACTGGTTGTGCAGTGTTTCAAGTAGAAACATTGCACAGCCAGATTCCATCATCCATGAACTCTTCAACAATCAGAAGTGGTAATGGACCTTGGAGAAACCCTTTAAACTGTTTGAAAATGGTTCAACGTTGAATGCAGTGATCGTGCCGAGAGACTCTAACCAGTATAAATTATTCAATGAGAATAAATGTCGTTTATATTATCTATAGAGCCCGTTTAATTTTATTATCACACCTATACTATTCTAAAATACAGGCCTAAACACATATTATTATAAGCCCTGGGAAATGACAGTTCCCCTTTAAAAAAAAATGCAACATTTAGCTAAATTAAGTTAGCTTTTAAATAGCAAACTTTTCAGGAGTGGCAAGTCCTCCCTAAACAACAAAACAGGCATGTCAGTTGCATAGGTATTCAACCCCCAGAGCCAATAATTGGTAGAAACAACATTGGCTGTTTCAAACTCTACGTTTTTAGGGGTTAGTGTCCCATTACTTGTGTGTGTCCCATTACTTGTGGCCTTAAAGGACCACTCTAGGCACCCAGACCACTTCAGCTTAATGAAGTGGTCTGGGTGCCAGGTCCAGCTAGGGTTAACCCATTTTTTTTATAAACATAGCAGTTTCAGAGAAACTGCTATGTTTATAAATGGGTTAATCCTTCCTCCAAAGCCTCTAGCGGCTGTCTCATTGACAGCCACTAGAGGCGCTTGCGTGATTCTCACTGTGAAAATCACAGCCGAATGGGCGGAGAGAAGTAGGATCGGAAGAGGAGAGCTCCCCGCCCAGAGCTGGAAAAAGGTAAGTTTCAACCCCTTTCCTCTCCCCAGAGCCGGTCGGGCGGGGGTCCCTGAGGGTGGGGGCACCCTCAGGGCACTATAGTGCCAGGAAAACGAGTATGTTTTCCTGGCACTATAGTGGTCCTTTAATGTCAAAACGGCATCATTTTTCAGCAATGGTCTCGCCCATGGCACCTTCCGTTTCGATCTAGCATCAATTTGGATAGAGTGCAATGCTATCCCACATCTATGCGGCTGCAGACGCTTTCATCGAAAATTACATGATACTGCCTACATCATTTGCCTGACAATGATGTGGCAAGTTTTGGCATCACACAGACTAACACATAGGAGAGTTTCCTGACCTATATAAACCCCTCCTCCTGACATTTGCCCTGTCATGGTTTACTTCTGGTTCCCAAATGATTGAAGATCCTGATTAGCACATTATTATATTCCTATGTGATTCTCTGGCAATTTGACCTTGGATTGTGACTCTGTCTCTCTGTAAACCTGACTTCAGCTAGGTTTCTTATACTTCTTTAACACTGTAATTCTGATCTTGGCTTATTTACAATTTTCTCTCTTTATTGTGTTAAAATCAGACACCTCTAAGGATCAGTAATATCTTCTATTGTACTTTCTCGGTTCTGAATGGTGTGGTATTCTAATCCGACAAGGCCCATTGACCCTACTGGCTTAAGACAGCAGAGAGTCTCTTGTGAGGCAAAGGTGATCATCGTATGCACCAATTTGCTCATGCTCTCCAGACCTTTTTGGCCCGTACAGCCCGCCTGTCACATGAAAGCCAGACCAGAACCTCCTCTTCTCATTTACCCACTGTGATCGGTGTTTCCACTGCCCCAGGTCCATTGGTAAAACAAATCCCTCCTAGATGAAAATGAAACCCCAAAACATGCATGTTTTTTTAAATGGCCATCCATTTTGAGATGTCTCCAAGATGTTTTCCCTCTGACCGAACTAAAGTGGGATTTAGAAGGAGTTTACACACAATAGCCCTGTTGCAAACTAGTTCTAGGAGAGCAACAGGGCTATTGTTTATAACTATTATGAATTATCTGAGGCTGAGAAGCCATTTAGGAGGAAAACAATACCAAGAATATGCCTATGCATTCCATAAATGTACCCACTGCACCTCCTCTGCCTACCGAAATTCCTCCCCAGTATCTTTCTCTCACGAAAGTGTTTGACAAGAAAAGGGCAGATTAATTGCTGTGCCATTGGCCAAATGAATGTACCATTAAACTAGTACCTGATACTATGCCTCCAAAGAGGACGGATATATATATATATATATATATATATATATATATTGTCACCCCAAGAGAATCTTATCATGGAGGAATTAAATACGCATGAGAGATAGATTTTATTAGGACTTCCTCTCCTGCAGGGGGCAAATAAATTTTTCACATCCAAAAAAGAATGTGATTTAAGATCATGTATAGCACACAGAGGCCTTAATAACATTACAATACACTGTGCATAGCCTATCTCTATAATTTATTGTATTTTGGCATTTGTAATGCTTAAGCTGTCTTCCAGGACTTCACTAATGAAGACTGTGTCTGCCCTTTCACACCTATGTTGGTGGCATTCTTTGCAGAAGGACACTTGCAAATATGTCTAGGCTGGTGAAGTGGGTGCCAGACTTTAAGGTGTGGCAGATTGCTATGTGGATTGCTTCAACCTTTACCATTTCCGAACAAATTTTCGCCACACCTAACTATGGGTTTTATTGTAGACCTGCACCATTTTAACGGATGTGCAGTTATTATTTATCATTTTTCTACAATAGCCCATTTTGTTCTCCTCCAAAGGGTGCCCTCTTTATCTGAGTTAGCCAAGATCTTCTCCCAGGAGGAGTTCAGGTTACACGGCATTTCCAATGAAATTGTATCAGATAGAGGTAGCCAGTTAATTTCCTGTTTCTGCATAACATTTTGCCAGGAGATGGCAATTACTCTAGCTTCTTCCTCAGCATACCAACTGTCCAATGGAACTGCCGTAGATGCTCAGCAGTCCCGTTAGGCAGTACATATGCTGTTTTATATCTCACCATCTAAATGACCTGCTTCTTTGGGAAAAGTTTGCCTGGAATAATGCCACCCACGAGTCTTCTGGACACAGTCCATTTTACATGGTCTGTGGCCTGCATCCTACAGTCCTTCCAGCTGCGTTTTCTAATTGGGAATATTAGTTCTGGATGGGTATTTGGCTGATCTACATTGGAGCAGGTTCAGCGTCTCTTGGGGAAATCTATAGTCCCCTAGCCTATTAATATTATAAGAACCCACACCTGCCGCTCATGGGTAGTTGCATACTGGGTCCTGTGGGTTGTTAAAATTTGAGCACCCACGAGGGCCATGGTTGGAGACTAGGATGCCCACACCAGTTTTTTAATGTTATAGCCCCAGCCCCTAACCACGAATGATTTGTCCCTCCCCATTCTTTAATCTGAAGACCACCCTGATGCACAGGGGTTAGCGACTGGGCTGCAAGAATAGTTTATTATTACAGTGAGCATCCACTGACTGCTCTCAGTTTAGTGGACATGAACCCACTCATGGTATAGTGAGTAGGGGCACGGGGGAGGTTTAACATCTCCCTTGTACTAATATTGACCCCTATAGGCTTTTATTTTACTTCTTTTTATAATGACTTACAGGACTAACCTTTATGAAAAGCTGTTCAAATTTGCTTCCAAAGCACTTTTATTGGATGATTTTTTATTGGATGCTGTTAGAATGTCGATAAAAAACAATCAATAATTATCAATTGAGTTTTGCCATTAGAATGTAAACAAGGCCCAAGTTTGAGGTTAAATGTTTGCAAACCCACAGGCAGCTCAACTATGAACCAAAATAGTTTTTCCTAAATGTATGAATTCCATTATCAATCCTGCACCTAACCCTGTTTTGTGAATAAAGCCTGTAAAGAGTACTGGTTAATATTTTGTTAAATGACCAACTTTTTTTGTATTATTACAGTAAATAAAATATTACATTGAATATAATATCATTGTATATTACTTTGTAAAGAATACATATAGATTAATAGTTCTTTTTAGTGCACCTCCGGTCTTATTCTTGCTTTGGGAAGGCGGCCATCTTTAGCCTTCTTTGGTCAGAGGCAACACAATATCTGCTAAGACCGAGATCTGTACCTACCGCAGAGTGTATTTTAGAGATGACAATCTGTGCATGATGTCTGATATGCCCACTAGCACTTGAATACCTGCATGGATTTTGGTTGGAAAAGCAGCACTTCCAACAAGAGACATAAGATGGTTGCCCCATAGAGCAAAGTTAAAGGGACTCTCCAGGTACCAATACAACTTTAATATATTTGAAAGATTTTGGCCTCATAATATGCTGTATTTTTTTTTTTTTTTTGCATGCTCAAGTCTTTATAGTTTTTGCACAAAACAAAATAAAGGTTTTGCTGAATGCTGCACCATAAGCCTGCGTCCTTAGTCACACCCCTCATACCAGAATACTTCCTATGAAATATTCACACATGGTCTCTAACAGCACTGAGTGAGCTGCTTTTACTTCACAACCTGGCTGCAGACAGTTATAGAACCTAGAAACAGGTAGTGATATACTTACTATGTCTCCCTGGGAATTCTCTTGTTTAATGCAGGTATCTTCATAGTTCAGACCATTCAGTACTGTCAGTGGCTGAGCTGTGTGCATATGTTTGATAAGGAAGTCTTTTTTTTGGAGTGAGGGGGCGTGGTCAAAGAGGCGGGTTTATGGTGCAGCATTTTGCAAAACTTTTTTTAATGTAAAAACTATAAAGATTTGAGCATGAAAAAATGCATCATATTAATGAGGCCAATACCTATCAAATGCATTAAAGTTGTGTTGGTGCCTGGAGTGTCCCTTGCACTGAAAAGATTTATATGTATACATTGCAACACGATGCTCATTATAACGGATCCCCTATACTCCGACTAAGTTAAATCCCAAGTAAAGCAGTGATTAAAGCTCTGAGCTACTCAAACATCAGCCTAGACTTGATGAAGGGTGCAACAGGAATCTCTTATTCTGGGCAGTTGGCCTGCTCTTATACACATCAGGGATACAGTCAAACACACCCATAACACTCCCACAGCACGTCCATGAATTTCTTAGGATGACTGTGCATAAAAACTTAAACTATCAAAAATACATTAAAACACATATAAGACATAGAGGAAACCCCACAAATATTAAATCCCTGGATAGCTTGGATCTGAGCACCCAAGCTGTCCAAATAGAGCTCAGATCCCGCAAATACAGCCCAATTGCTAGAGTTTTCACCGACTGCTCGTGAGGCGTCTGCCCAAATCAGTTCCAGAGTTTCAGTGGTCGGTCAATTTTGGGAGTTCCAAACCGAACAAAAAGACGAACGGTTCCCCTGGCTCATAGGTAGCGTTTGTTTGCCTTATTCGTGAAAACAAACCTTCCGAACAGCGCTCTCCTGGCTTGTCGCAGAAAGAAGCAGGCATTCGTATGGTTTTACTGGTGTTCGCGAGGTCGAGTGTCCAACTTAGAGTTCCAGACACTCGACAACCAAGTCCCGTTGCCTGCGTTCGTGCGACAAGATGGACGCTGTTTTCTCCAGCACACGGCGTTCAGTTTTACGAACGGCGACCACACAGAGAGAGCACTTGAGTCTGAGGTTTCTTTGTAGTTAATGAGCCAGGGGGATGGTAAGTGTTCGGTAGTTTTGTCTACCGAACGCAGGGAGATTGTTTTATATATTTCTAGAACAAAAACAAACTAGGGAAATGTCTTGTGAACAGAAGGGAAAAGTATTAAGTTTGGCACAAGGTATATGTCCCATAATCGGTGGGCAGGAGGCTAACTTCAACACTCCTCCAGGAATTCGTGACAAATGTCCAGGGTAAGGAGCATTTGTCACACTCATATAGGCTGTAATGGATATAATATTTTGTTTTATATAAAAATTATGCATGTTTTCTTTAAATGCTTTTAGGGTAGTTTGGCTCTGTTGTTTTGGAGCCACAGTCAAACAGGAAATATGGATTCATATACTGGGACACAGGTAAGGCCTGTGTATACTGGAAGGCATTTAGCTGGCACAGAGACTGCCAATGTCGTATATGGCATCTAATACAAATTTATAAGCATCAGTGATGGCATAAATCTGAAGAGACCATTGCTGGAGCCTTCACTCTGGGTTGACCACAATGCTCTGCACCTCCTAACACCTTTCCCTGGCCAGAGCCCAAGCCAGAAATATTAAACATCTAATAACCAAATACTGGTGCCAAAACCGACTTAATGAAAGCAGTAGGAGGGGGCAGCAATTTGCTTAGGGTACAGAGAACGGGGCTGGTCCTAACTCCATCCCAATCCATGATAAAGCTATCGACTTCTGCTATAATTATTACCATGATAAATTTTGAAGTGCAGGAACGAATGTGTTAAACAAACAGTACTAAGAGAAGTAGAGTCAAAGTTGGTCTGTTAGTATAGAAGTCATTACCATTGTTCTGGTACCTTCTGGAGGAATTTCCTGACAAAGGCTGCTCGCCTGTAACAATATCACACTGAAAGCTTTGTCAGCTTACAGCCTTATTTAGATAGCCAGTTACTTGCTGTAACAGCTCAGTGTATGTTTAAGAGATTAACCAATCAATAAGAATGAGGCCAACAAAGGTTTGCTTTTACCTGTTTTAAGTGACGCAGAAAATTCCAGCTCTGTGTAACTTGTTATATCGTAGTGACACTGTTCTGAACTCAGTAGGTTCACACAGAATCTCTCCCTATATATGTACACTAGCCATAGATTGGTATTTTCAAACTTTTTGAATGTATGTTGATGTTTTAACCCTTTATGGATCTTTATATAGAATTATCAAGATATTATTATTATTACTAGTGTTTCTATAGGACAAACATATTCCATAGCGCTTTACCATTTTATCGTGAGGATATTTGATAAAAAGTAATTTATGTACAAAATGTAACAGAAACAACAGGTAAGGAAGGTCCTGCTTAAACAAGCTTACAGTCTATTATATCTATATAAAGTGGTATTTGAGAGAACGGTCAGAGTCAATAGACAATTGACATGTTTAGTATATGAGATGCCATTACTGTATTGACAGAGAGTAGGCAGTTGATCTGATCAGATTAATCTTCTGTGTGTGTGTAAATGTAAATGAGAATGTGAATGCGTTTATAAAGGGAATTACAGATCTGAGTGTGAAGAGGGAATCGATCAGGTGTGTATATGTGTATGTCTGCAGAGGGAAATTGTTGATGCGTGTTTGTGTATGTGAAAGGGAATTGATGCTATATTTTTATTTGAAAATTAAATTGGTATTGGAAAGGGAATAGGAATTGTGTGTGTAAGTGGGAATTAGATGGAAAATGAGTTGGCACCGTGTTTGTGTGTGGAAAAAGAATAGACAACGTGCAAATGCAATCTATGTGTGGTATGTGCAAAGGGGCCAGTTGTATGCGTGTGTTTCTGAGGGAAGAGAACTGGTTAAATGTGGTTTCAAATTGAATCACTGGTGTGCATACACTGATCAGCCAGAATTTTTACTTCCTCATTTGCTTTGAAGAGCCTCAAAATTATGTGTACAGCATGCAAATGCTTGGACATTCCTCCCATTTTTGACTCTTGTAGAGTGCCAAAGTCCAAGCTCATTCTTTGGCAGTTGGCCCGCTCGGGCACAATTGTCAATGAGGCTGGGAATAAACAGATTGCTGTCGTGGTATGGCGACTATCAAATTATTAAGCGTTTCCACTCATCTGATCTGATGAGTGGAACGTAGACTTGAGGCTGAACCTGGAAGTTTACGGAATTAGAAAACCCCAAAAGACTAGTTTGAAAGGCTCCCGATTAGTACGATGTAAGAAGATGATCTCCAATTCACCTATGAAATACATATACATAGCAAGTTTCCCAAGATGCAATGCACCTGGGAGGTTTATAGTACCGCCCCCTACATGCTGTAGCCTGTGGGTAGCACGTGGCGTCGAGTGTGAAGGTGTTGGAGCGGCTTTTGCATCGAGTTTTGGAGCCATTCTGGAAATTGTTTGCAGTTATTTTTGGACTTTTTGGTGCATTTCTCAAGCTGTGGAAAGGTAGGGAGCTGAGTTTTGTGGTTTGCATGCCTTTTACTGTGTGTTCTGCATTGTGGGTTGGTTTCCATGCCAGCTCATTTTGACTTTTTTTCTGACCTCCAGAACGTATGAATTGTTTTTCAAAGCATTCCTATGGGAAACCGCGTTTCGGTTTACAAATTTTTCGCAATAAGAAACGTCCCGGAGAACGCATTAAATTCGTAAACTGAGGTCCCACATACTAGAAAATGGAATATTGTGAATGAATAGATATAGGCACATACAATGTGGATATTGTGCTTTTTAGCTGCATATTATTTTGGTCATTGGAACTGCAGAAAACTGCAAAATTTGTATATTGATCTACACCAGGGGTGCCCAAAAGATAGATTCCCAGATGTTATAGATACACAAGTCCCATGATGCTTTGAATGCCATTGCATTCCTTTAGAATGCCAAAACATCATGGAAGCTGTAGTTTTAAAACAACTGGGGATCTACCTTTTGGGCTCCCATGATCTACTCAAATTCACATAATAGAGCAGTTCATTAGAACAAGTCTTCAATTTGACCCTTAAGATGCTCTTTGTTTGTACATCCCTACCTACATTGCCTTGGACAATGTATTCATCACAATAGCATTATTTATTTATAACACTAAATAAAAATTACTTTATTCTCCCTGTATAACTTGTATTTTGGGTGAGAATATTGTATTGTATAAGTATATTGGTGTTTTAGTATAGTCAAGAAGTGATGAAATTAAAATTAAATGAGGCTAGTTTAATTCACAGATAGGTGACCAGTAAGTCAATTGTAAGCTCTCCAGGCTATTTACCTCCTGTTGCAGCAAACGGATTGTTGATCCCTTGGAAGAAACACATTATCTGTTACTTAGCATGCTATTGGAGAAATCTGAACCTCATTTGTGCTATTTTGGTTCCTTGCCCATTACCTGTCTCACGCCTTAACTGAGTTTACAAAGTTTGACTATGAAAATTTACTTAGCATTGCTAAGTGGGTTACCCCCCACCACCACATTTACATTAGTGCTCAACAGAGAGTGCACGTTTAATGGAGAGATGATTATATCACATATTTGAGGTGTAACTCATATGAATGGCCTTTGCTAACTAATCCCATTATGTGCTTTATGGCACACAACTTTATTGCTCAAGACAAATATCCTTACAGATATCGAGTGACAGCTCAAGTGTAAATGGCAAACCTCTGTTCATAAAATCTACAGTGATAATTATAACATAGCATCATACATTTAATCTATTAATCAAAAAAAAAAAAAAAAAAGAGCAAAGAATGGAATTACAAATTTATATAAAGTATATAGGCCTGAAATATTCTTGAGCTTGAAGAGGAATACAAAGCATTCTGGGTCAGAAACTGGCAAAAGCTAAACTTCCATGTAGCCATGGCCTATACCCACACACGATACATCCCCTATACCCACACACGATAAACGATTAACAATTTATTTGTAGGTATAATAATAGATTAGATATTAGCAAGCTGTTTGCTCTGTGAAGATATGTAGCAGTTATTAGTAAATATTATAATCATGGAAAGAGCCAGTTTGCCTAATTCTTTTAAACATAAAAGCTAAATGCACCCTTCTCGCTTGAATAAAGTGGTATTATTTTTTATAAATATTCTCCATAGTTAGTTGAGGCTGGTGGAGGTGATTTTTGGGTAGGCATTTAAAATAACTTAAAAGTTTGCTGTTGTCTATGTCACTAATTGTAGATTCTAAAAATTGAAAACTGTCAACTTGTCGTCATGTGACTCCTTTTAAAATCTTCACTCTTACAGTCTTGATTTAGTACAGTTCAACAGATACTTTTTTGGAATTGTAGTAAAAGTACACCAACATTTATATTCACTAACTGAAGTAACTTAGTTGCAACATTAATTAGTAACGCGTTCTGACTAGGGAGTGCGCGCTTAATAGGGAACCATTTACTAAATGGTATATCAATTTTAATGGCTATAAAAAGGGCCCTTTTAATGGCATAAATACTATGCCAAGTGAGACCAGAGCGAAGGTGTCACTAGGTGAGCTACTCTAGTATAATTAACCTTGGCATAAATTAGTCTAATGATGCGCTTGTTCCATGCTTTCTAAGGACTGTCCCCTAGAACTTACATGTCCACTCCTCTCCATACCTTCCTATTAGCAGCCAGAAGCTCCTGTTATACAATCTGGGAAAGAGAAAATGTGAATGCAGTGAGTGTAGAAGAAAGGGAACCACCCACAGAGTTAGAGACTGAAGCAGCAAGAGCATTTGTATAGTGTGCAAAGTCAGATTTACATTAACTAATTTCATTGTCAGCTAGCCCACACAAGTTTTGTTTCCCTACATCCACATGTGAAGAGTAGTAGGAAAAAAAATAAAAAATAAAAATATATATATATATATATATATATATTTTTTTTTTTTTGCAATGGTCCTATTCCATGGGCATGGGCCTGGAGCTCCATCAGCCCTTATGTTAATCTGACCTTGGTTACAGCAGTGTTGGACTGATATCCTGAGTTCATATAGGCAGAGTATTATCACGTGCCCCCAACATCCCACTCTTCCAAACAAAAAAAAAAAACTAAAACATCTTGCTTTTATGATATAAAAATGCTGTGTAAACACAAACAGACTTAGAGAGCTTGTGTGTGTAACTGTGTGACTACATGCATACGTCTGCGTGAGTGTATATGTCTGTGTGTGTCAGTGTGTGTGTAGCAGTCTGTGTGTGAAAACGTGTGGGCGTTGGTGGTTATCTGTTTAATAGTGTGTAATAGTGTGTGTAACAGTGAGTGTGTATAGTGGCAAGTGTAGTAGAATGCTATCATGGAAGTGTTAACAGTGTGGGTAAAGGTAGTACTGTGGGTGTGTTTCCTTGCATGGCTTTACAGGTGGCCATTCTGGCCTCTGTGCTCTCCCTACTATACTGGGGTTTGCTGTGCTAAGTCCAGGGAAGGCAAGGCCATGTAGATTCTGGCTCCTTCAGACTTAAAGGGACACTCCACTGCCTAAACAAATTTAAAAAAAAATCACTGTTTTGATATACCTCCAATGAAAACTTGCATGCTACAAATTATGTATTTTTTCATTGAGTGTATATCTAGGTGCATAAGTTAAGTAGTTAGGCAATGAAGAATCATGCAGAATATACATTATACATACTGCAGGGAAACCTTTTACATGCATTTATATAAATAGGACAACATTATATGTGTCCCTGAAAACATGGTGGATCTGGTAACCCCAGCCCTAAGGGTCTGGATATCAGAGTCGGGCAGACTCAGTTCAGGTCTTTGCTGTTTGGGAAGATGAAAAATCAATGAGGACAGCTGCTTTTAACAGGCAGAGTAGGCACCTGTGGCGTCTCTTTTAGGCATGTGCCTAACTTGGGTGAAATCATATCCATTGTTCCATTTTGACATTCTATGGAAAAGGTCACTTTCTTTGTTATTTATCATAGATTATTTCAAAGAGATGTTTTTAAGGTTGTGTGAAGGTTCTTCTTTGTAGGGATTTGATTGTACAACACCTTAATTAAAGTCGTCATGTTTTTAGGCTCCCAATAGCCCATGCATGTTTTAATTGGTATCCTTCTACTCAAACTCTAACCTCCTACTTGTTTTTATCAAGAACGTCTTACTTATTGAAAAATGGAAAGCCATAAATCGAATACATAGGCAGATGGCCAGTACAGTTGACTAATTCTCCAGAAGAACAAGAAAATATCCAGTGTCCAAATCAAAAAGTAAAGAGAAAATGTTAGTTGGGAAAATGTCCCAAATAATCAAATTTTAACCCTCCAATATTAAGGAATTAACCAACTACAGGTACAACGAGAGCTGCAACACATAAAGATTAGTCAGAGTTGGTCAGGGATGTAAAACTCACCACGGACCTATAAAAATGTTTTATTGTCACGTCTACGCTCAAAGTCAAAAGTGTCACCACAGAAAAGTGCAAAATTGCCCAATAATAAAAATGGGTGACAATATTATTGCTCATGTAAAGCTCTTCCAAAACATAAAAAGAAAGCACACGGGACCATCTAGGCTGCAATGTGCAAGAGTGAATAAGGATAAAAAGCCTATATGGTAGGTCTACTCTATACCAACAAGAAGAAATAAAGTGTGATATGAATGTCATCAAAGAATCGCGTTTAATCACCACTCATTTGCATACACATATTCAGCGTTTAAACAAGCAAAAATGCACTGACATCTCTAGTACCTCATTTGTGTTTCTACATATGTATTGGGGCTTAGCTTACTAACCCTGCTCTATGTTTGTGTTAAACTACATGTCACATACTACTATAAAGCACCACTAGACTAACTCTTGCTTTAAAACCGTGTAAACTAGCAGTAGCCCAAACTGTATAAGCTTGACCAACAATTGACCTGTTACACAATCTGACTCTTAAAACCAAAAATGTGCTATGTTATCAATGCCATGCCAATGTTATAATATGTTTACAAATCTGTCTGCACCAGCTGTCGTGGCAGTGCAAACGTCTGTTTTCTTATTATGCACAAATAAAATAATAAAAAAAAGAAAAAAAAGAATTGCATTTAATTTGTGTAGTGAAAGCATTTATAAAACTGTAATGATATTAAACAAAGGATTAAGAATAACCTGCTTCATCCCTATTTTTCACTGTATTAATTTCTGCCTATTATTTTAATTCATGTCTTATGCAGTTTCACCATACACTGTTATCTACTGCTGATGTAAATGTGAACTATGTTTCTATGAAAGGTTACCTAATAGGAGAAACTTTGTTATTTCCCCCCTCTATTATTTGCAATGCATCCAATGGAAATGCGTGTGATTCTTTAGGCTTGGTAGGTGAGCATGCACACACAAATGCACAACAGGAACATAAGATTCAAAGAATGTATTCACGTGATTAACAACATCACAGGCAAATGGCATTTTTGATGAAACTGGATGT